AGAATGTTTATTAAACTGACATTTTCAGCCCCAGCTGGAAACAACAGTTAAATCACTTTATAACTCTTGCTTCGAAGAAGATCTGTTTGTATGGCTAATGTTTCTTACAAAGTTATAAGACAGTGTTGGATTTCTTTTTTTGATTTATAAGTTTTGCCCAAGTTTTCCGTCAAGATCACGGGACCACCGCATATCCTACCAAAACAGAAGAAACCCACTTTCTATGTCACAGCGAGGTAACTGAGTAAGACCTTATATGAATTTATGAACGCTTAGCTATTAATTGGTACTAAATGGCATTGAAATTTCCTATATCGATGCTCATTGAATTTATCAGTGTACAAGGCACATCATAAGTTATCTAAATGCCGTGTCCTGTACTACTGTTTCCACAATTGTTATTAAAAGCGTATGTTTTATATATTTTATCTTTTAATATTTAATTAGAACCACGTATGGCAGGCCTGTCCTTGGTGTTGCCTCGATACGCGTTAAAATCGTTGGTTTTAAGCAAACGCCGTTTGCAATCACTTCATTCAGACAACTTGTAAGTAGTAGATTGATGACTAGAAATTATCGAATGGACATTGTAAAACCAAAACATCTGTGGTCATATTGTTTGATATGCAGTATTAATTTGTATAGCTTTAACCAGTACGCACATGACTTATGAAACGCCAATTTCACGACTATTCCCCGAATACCCACGAGTACTCCACGACTGTTTGACGACTATTCCACGAATGTCCACAATTACAATACCTACCCTACATCTATTCCATCACTTTTTTCACGAAGACCCATGATTGTTACAACAATGTCCACGACTACAAAACGACTTTTTCACAAATACTAGTTACGACTAGTCCACGCCTACTACCCGACTATTCCACGAATGCCTACGACTATTCCTCCATCGATATCCATAAATCTCCTATAATGATATTAAGTTAATTGTCATATCGGTTTCTCGCATTTTAGCTGAAAAAAGATGGCGTCCAGTTTTCGATCACAAAGCAACACATCGAATTATTAGATCGAAACATCTGGTTTCCTGAGGGATGTCGACTGCACATTGAAGCGTCAGTAACCGAGAAATCAACTGGAATCACAGAGACAGCGATTGAAAACTCAATACTCTTCACTTCTTCGCCTTATCGTATAAMGTTTACTAACACAGCGAGATACTTCAAACCTGGAATGCAGTTTCCAATCAAGGTTAGAAAATTGTTCGCGAATTTGGGCAAAGCGCCACAATATCTCATGAGAGAGAAGCCAATCACAATACTTTTCTAAGATCTGGGACTATGATGTTGAGTCTCACGGAGTCAAATGACTTTACTGGAGGATTGCACGATGATCGGCTGCGGTAGCATCATTTGCCACAGCGATCCTAAAACGTTGTCTGTAAAAACCACACTAAAGCCCTTAAAGTTATAAACCCCGATAACAGTATAAAGAATAGGTTTATGATATCTATTTTGCACACTGTTTTACTTTTTACATAGATTCAAGTAACTGATACCTGGAAGAAGCCCCAGGCTAATATGCCTGTAAAAATCTCTTCTAAAGGAATCAAACAAGATGGTAGTGTTGTTGATATGGTGCAATCAGCATTGAGANGGCTTTGTCATGCATTGTCGCAATTATTGTCATTCATTTTTTTGTAATTTACAGGCTGAGACTAACCTCCCTAATTTTGATAACAACGGCGGTAAAGAATATGTAATCAACAAGTACTCCTCTCCATCAAACGAATATTTGATGGTACGACAGCGAAARCCCGTTCAGGTCAGTACCCYGTARCACGTCAGGATTCATCATTTTTGTGACGAAGTGCCTTCTGGGAAGGCCTCTCGTCACTATGTCATCGACCATKAGTGAGTGACTGAGTGAGTTAATATCTTTCATTTCGCTCTCCCATAWTCAATGCTGTTTGTACATGAGTCTRGACATTGTGCGCAGTTGAGGAGTAAAGAGGGAGGGTTTGGCAAGTGGAACCACTATAAACCTTGCTATAAATATTCACAGTACTAACCATATTTGGCCGCATGAACAAAATAAGCTCACAGTCTACCAAGACTCTCATGTGTTTTGTAGTTGTCATGTAATTTTAAAGCGCTTAGAACAGAATTGGATAAGCGCTATATAAATAGGATTATATATATATTATTATTATTAAAAGATGTTTGGTACCAAATTAAGACCACAATGCAATGCGAATGCTATTTTTGAACAGGCCTATGTCAACTTTGCAATTTGCAATTCTCACGTGTTGTCTATCTGCATTTTTTCTCCTGCATGAAAACTTCCAATGCATTCAAAAATATGTCATTTATCTATTTATTGTTAAATACCATTGTCTTCTACRTAGGTTGGACAAAACGTCTTTTGTGAAGCGTTCGTCAGCAGTAAAACTGTGGAACGACTCCATTACATGGTATGAGATGGAATGAAACACTCAATCGCCGAGGCAACCATTACCTTTCCTCTATTTCATAACGTTTTTGGTTTTCCCGCGCATGTAACTTTTCAAATGCCCTAATTTTGGAAACTTTGCCTGAAAGCTTGACTTTCCTTTTGCATTTTTCTTTACATGCACTTTTGTGTCCTTGCTGAACCGGTACCGGCGTACATACAGTCAGTTTGAAATCAAGGATGATTTTTTTCTTCCAGGTCATCGCGCGTGGTCAAATCGTGCACCAAAACGTATACAAGGAAAAGATTGGTCTCATGAAGACAATAGTTTTCGAGGCCACACCGGTGATGTCGATATCTTCACGTCTTGTCGCATACTATGTTCTTAAGAATGGTGAARTTATCTCGGATACCACTACTCTCGATATCACAGATTCTTTTCCTAATAAGGTATATCGTTACCATATATGGATTTCATCTTATCATGCATAACCTAACATGGTTTCATCCCTTCTATTTTGCTATAGATCAGCATTAAAGACCCAAAAGATAACGAAGAATATCCAGGCATGGAATACAAAGTAGAGGTTTTTGGAGAAAAAGGCACTCGTGTTGGTCTTCTTGCAGTAGATCAAAGTGTTTACCTCTTAAGAAATGAAAACAGGCTAACGCCGAAAAGTGTAAGCTCCATAGTTATTTAGGGTTAATCGATCAACAACTTAGATTATCAAAGCAGTGAATCAATCAAAAAACGTTTCAGGAGGAGACTGTGATGTCGAAACTAGGTCAGGTTAAAAATGCACGGCGAAAATTGTCATCCGTTCGATTTTCTCACTCGTATGCGCATGCTCGCAACCTATTGACATCTTATAAATTTCCTTTAAGAGACCCTATCCGTCTCGCTCTGCGCCGAGAAACATCACTTGTTAACTTTTTTTCATATTTATTTCAAAGGTTTTCGACAAACTAGAGGAACTCGATCTTGGATGTGGAACAGGAAGTGGTAAAGACTCCAAAGACGTTTTCAAGGTACTGYTAAACCACAATGTAGCAGCAATGCCAGTGGTTGACYTKTCATTKATTGATACCTGTCAATTATCGTCCTTTACCTTCGTTTGATGCATGATGGATCTATCACTTTACCCTGAATTGCTTAAATCCAAATGCTTCAGCTTGGTTACTTTTTATGATATCGCTGGGAACTATGAAGAGAGGTYTTACCAAATTGTCTTTTTTCATTTAGAATTCAGGACTGTCTGTGATGACAAAATCGCTTGTTAGCGACGGCAGACAAGGTACAGTGTTCGCAAGATGTCAATTTTTCGATTTTTAGAATTAAAATTCTCAGTGCCACACTGATAACTGTACACGTCTTCTCCTTAGTGGCATGCGTTGTCGATGGTTTTGTAGCCTGCGTAGCCAAGCGTTCCTAGTCGCTCCGAGAGAGTTTGGGCCGAGAAACCCTYCTGGGTTTCTCCGGCCCAAACTCTCTCAGAGCTGCTAGGAACGCCTGGATACGCAGGCTAATGGTTTTGTCATGTCCATTGGCTTGCCATCTGGTCTRCCAGTTCAAACCTCCTCATTTGTGCTGAATCTTCAAAATTTCTAATCGTTGCTCTTTTTCGCACAATATTAGACTTCACGTGTCAAGATGCTCCCCAGAGACGAACCAAAAGAGGCTTAGGTAAAGTATATTTATGTATTCGTCATTGTACAGAATAACGGTGTTTAGGAATAAGAGATAATAATCTTTTAAATACTTTGTTCAGGTGCCAAAAATGCCATCGACTGTTGTAAACTTGGAGAAACAGTTGACATCAAAAAGTGGAATTGCTTGAAAAGAGCTTTTGATCTGGATGTACCACAATATCAGTTTGACAAGCAGGCACGTTATCAGTGCAAAAAGCAGTTCTTCATATGTTGCAAGAACAAGTTTGGATTAAAAGGTTTGTTSTMGCTTGTAATCGAAGATTAACAATGACATAAKTTTTGGGGGGATTAAAATTTAATTTGCTCTTCAATTCCCTACAATTTTTCGATTCTTTCTTTGTTTGCCTTCTTGAGTTTTCAATGTTTTCTATAGGTGTAGGCATGCTGGGAAGAAGCGCAGCTAATCACGATTTGATGTTTCAAGATGAAGAGGAGAATCTCAACGCCATTCAGATTCGTAGTTTCTTTCCTGAGACATGGTTMTTTGAGGAAAGGATCATCAGGTAACTGTTTGGAACCAGTGTATCAACCTAAAAAATTCAACCTACCAAACCAACGATCATTGACCCTAATGACGTCGCGTTGGTGTGGTCGACGAGATGCTATATGGGATTGAAAAACGTACAGAATGAAGCTATTTTGCTGTACGTTTGTGTAAACACTTACACTGCCCTGCCTGCTCTGGTTTGTTTTGTTTTATCCCTTGGTTTACCAGGAATTCCCGGAATCCCTGGACTTTCATCCCTGATTTGAAAGGTTGTTCGCATCACATTACTTTTGAAGAGTGTACTTGCTGATTCTAGAATGAATCTGCATTTGGCATTAATGTTTACAATTGTTCAAACATCCGAAATAAAGCATTATCTTTCACTTTAGGGATTTAGCCAGCAGGAAAACTTGTCAAGCAAACCTTAAACGTGATTTATGCCATGCTGCTTCTCTGCCAGCCACAGTACCACACACTATTACCACGTGGATCGTGCAAGCCATAGCTRTCTCCAACACCTCAGGATTTGGCATTGCTAAACCAAGGCATTTAACTGCATTTAAAAGCGTTTTTGTCTCATTGACCATGCCTTACTCGGCACAACGCGGGGAACAGATCACCATATTGGCTACAGTGTATAATTATGGAAAAAAGGAACTTAAGGTATTCTGACGATACTTAAAAAGAAAACCTAGTCCATTTTATCAGTATGTTCATATGAAAATATAACGAAGAGTCTTCTTAGGTCTATTCCCTTTCAAAATCATCGACCAGCATTCTGAGTGGCTATTTAACAATTAGACCTCGAGGTCGAGTGGACTACGAGCTAATAGTCCGAGAGGTCTAATTGTTTTAGTATAAACATACTAATCGGTCAAAAAATGRAAACAAATTGAAATATCCTTAAAATAATTTATAATTTATAATTCATTTATTTTGATTTTTCCGCGAGTGGTCTATCACAAATTAGTCATTGAGTATCATTATCATGTTTATACTAATGGACTATGGTCTATTATCAGACAATGGTTGCATCAATACAAGAAAGCAATGCCGACTGATAAAATTCTTTTATTGCCCTGCAGTTTTGCTAATACGAACACTAGGTCTCGCGGAATGTGGGTTGATATTCCATTCGACTGTGTCTTTCTATATGTTTTTCACGACTGGAAAATATTAGGGAGCTTTAGATTTGAGAACGAAGACGAAAATTCGCCGTTACAGATTACGACAGCTCATGAAATGTCACGCAACTTCGTTGTCTCCTTGCTGAGGACGACGAAGTTTTTACCAAACTTCGTTCTGTCCAAAACAAAGTTTTTATCAGCTTTTCTTAGATTTATTATACACTGAAAATCTGAAGAAAATGCACGAACATCGACTTTGGTCATCCCTTGTTTTACTTTGAGCAATAAATGTGCGGAAATATCCTTAATTTGTGCTAAGATTGTCATAAACTAAACCATGTCAAATTAGTTTTTCAGAGCGAATTAGGAATTTCTTTTGAATATGCGCGAGCAAGCTGACCACATCAAAGTTGTGCGCGCTCACCAACTTCGTCCTCGTCCTCGTCTTCGTTCTCAAATCTAAAGCTCCCTATTAAGTGGTCAACAACTGTCCTCTTTTCTTTAGGTCCATCTCAGGCTCTATGGAAATGAAGGTTTTTGCTCTATTGCTGACCCTCGCTCGCATAAACCAACAAAAATCACAAAGAAACCCCTTACCATTAAGGCAAAAGATTCCATATCAATTCCAATAACAATTGTTCCAATCAAGTATGGTCTGGTTCCAGTAAAGGTGCTTATAAACACTAATGACTTTTCTGCAGCAGGAGATGGTGTTGAGAGGAATCTGTTGGTCATTGTAAGTACCACAATAAATGAACATAGCCATTAATATTTTTCCGACACTTGCATAAGACATTTCCCCGACCAGTATAACGTATTCAAGGCTACAGGCCTTGTGACKTTCATTGGGGTTTGTCGGGTTTCGTCACATGTATGTATAAACTTTGGACAATCAACTCCTTCGCGGTCCCCTGCGACTTCTTGAAACGTAGCCRTGCCTTTTCATCGAAGCAAAACAACCGTTGAGTGTTCAGTGATTTACAAGAAACATTCTTTTTCAAGTATCTATCATGGTCGTCTCGCTGTGATGCAAAAGCACGACTGCGTTAAATACTCTCTTCTTCCTCCAATCCTACCGGTCTTTGACTGTCTTTATTTATATTTTTTATTTATACGTTTTTATATTACTTGAAATTTTATTTTTTAGCCTGAAGGAGCAGAGAAGCTCAAGACACAATCATTCATTCTCGATCCTCAAGGTAAGGTCCTTTTCATACCGCACGTTATTCTTTCATAGTAAAACGCAAATCCATCGCACARAATCGTTGTAAGTTTGGAATGCCAGGTAAATACGATGAGCTATGATACACTCTTGGATTTTCTTTCATTTGTTTACCAAATTAATTTTTTACCTTCAATGTAAGTTGGTGATATATTAAGACATTGTTATCTTTGATGCTCGATAGGTGTTCTCAAAGATTCCAAGCAAAACGGCGAAAAGAATGACAWCGATATTAAAAATTCAACGTTTCCTTGGCAACGTAAGCATGAACTGCATATTGTCATGTATACATAATTGTAATTGAATTTTCCAGAATTTTTTGCATAATGTTGTATATCATCTTCATATGTTATTGCAGAAATTTTTAACAAAGCTCAAAACAAGCAAATTGATAACATCGTTGTTGCCGTTCCAATAAGCAGCATCCCTGAGTCYGTGAATGCTAKGATTTCGTTTACCGGTAGGTACTTAATTATAGCTTATTCAATCAAGGTTGTCATACAAGAATCGCTGGAGGCAAACATGCTTGAGCAACACATGACGGTCTTATTCATATTTTACCCTTTGTGATATAACAGGCAATTTGATTGGTCCAGTTGTAACAAATCTCATCACTGGTGGACTTGAAGGTCTACTGCGCATGCCCACTGGTTGTGGTGAGCAGACGATGATCTACATGTCCCCTAATGTTTACGTACTACAATATCTATCAAATACAAAACAAGTGACAGCAAGTGTCGAGGCCAAGGCTTACAGATTCATTGAATCAGGTATGTGCAACTGTTTGGCAAAAAAAGCATAATCAACCTCCAAGGGCTTGTGGACGAATCTCTCTCATCTTAACTCAAAAGGCCCCTCAGTCAAAGCATGCATGGAAGAACTAAGATAAATTAGTAAATTAAATCAGTGAAGATATGACAGCTCATGATCATTTGTTTTATGATTGGTCGATGAGGAATTTATGTGTATCCAGGAATTGGGTATTGATTACTGACGATTGGGTATTGATTATTGACGATTGTGACGATTGAGTATTGATTACTGACGATTGGGTATTGATTATTGACGATTTGTCAATGATAACTGACGATCGGTTAATGAATAACCTTTTAGGGTACAAAAGAGAGCTCAACTACCGTCGTAATGATAATTCCTTCAGTGCATTTGGCAATAGACGAGCTGGTAGCACTTGGTAAGGTGTTAGCACTATAACCTATTTAGTTAAGACAATAAAACCTCTAAATATCGACCATAGCGGTCGTCTCTAATAGGTTGCAACTGACACCTTTTGTGTGAATACAGGCTCACCGCGTTTGTCGCTAAAGTATTCTGCGAGGCGAGCAAGTTCGACGGAGTTCAGATCGATGAGAATTCCATGTGTATGTCCATCCAGTGGCTGATTAAAAATCAACGCGCCGACGGTGCCTTTCCTGAGGTCCATCATGTCATACACAAGGAAATGGTGGTAAGATGTGAAGCGAAAACTAGTTTAGACAGCCAGTTAGGGTCATCAAAACATGCGTATCTGTTTAGTACCGATTTTAAGAAATCTTTTCACCGGTGAAGTGGAAACGGGGGAGACGCTTTGGAGCGTGTGAAAATTATGCAGCTGAACGAAAACGCAAGCTGCGGTGAAAACCAATTTTTTTGTCTGTGCTTTCTTCGCCGATTCCACCTACATCGACGCCATGCCAGTGGAAATCATACATTGCTTACTATAAAATTGATTTTTTGTTCAGGGGGGTGTCTACCAGGATAGTGACATTCCTATTACTGCGTTTGTCGTCACAGCTCTTCAGGAATGTAAATGTCATCAGGTTAGGGCCTATGATGATGATGATGATGATGATGATGATGATAAATCCTGTCTCCCTCCTCCTTTCATTTCTGTCTTATCAAGATATATATCTCATGCATAAATTACTATTTTCTTGCACTAAGGTCAGTAACACTGCAGCCTTGACAAAGGCAATAACCTACCTCGAAAAGAACTTGGACAATATGAATGATCCTTACAGCATTGCTATTACAACATATGCGTTGGCAATGGCCAACAGTCCAGAACAACACAAAGCCAACACCAAACTAACGCAACTAGCTCATTTTGACCCAGGTTAGATTTTGAAACCCTCGCATCTTATTTAGAATATTCCGTATGTGGAGTGTATATAATCTCTCAAGTTAAAAAAGCAAAGCGTTAAAATGCAGAGTTTTATTTAAATGTTATTTCTTACGTTTATTTGCTATAATCCATCTATAATTTTATCTCTATATCTTCAGCACATG